GGTATCACCTTCAGAAAGTATCCTATGGACGAGTTTTGATGATTTGCCAAAAATCGGCTGATTAGATGACGTTTAGGTGTACCTAAGGAGTACTAAAGTTTGGTATATGAATACCTGACGAAACCGTAGAAAATAATAAATTGAGATCCAATAACTCACTCAATTCTCTCCCAGAGAAGCTGTTATTATCCATTTTGGCTCATTTGTTGTGTGGTAACTACATCTTTGTGTCAACAATGTTTGCTCAACTTTAATGCTATTAGAAATGGCGGTCCAAACGAGGCAAGAAAGCAGCTGTAGAGATGGCCAAGCATAAGCGAATGTAGCATGTTATTCTACTTGTTAGCCTTGCTGTTTTCAGATATTTTGCAACTGCTGTATCTATTGAGACTGATTAATGTCCAATCAAATCAATGTGGCCTCTTATATTATACCATTTTATTATTTTACTTATTGTATGTTTGTCTTGCGAAACATTTTAATCTACGCTTTTAACCAGAGACTGAGCTGTAACTTTCTGTGAGAGAATTAGCGTACTTCTAAAGTAAAATTATGTACCGTATGAATAAATTTGTATACATGAGTTTTGCCAAAAGAGCAGTTTCCAGATAAATTTTGTTTTGAGTCAAATAATATACGTTTAAAAGTTACTTTTTAAAAAAAGAGAAGTGTTGTAAAAAGTGTTTCGATATTTGGTCGAATCTCCCACATTTTTCTGACTGTGACCTGCGAACTGAAATCCACTCGTATCCATGATACAAGAGCGTGGAGTTTACCCGTCGTCAGGGTTCGTCATTTGGACTGCGACGCACTGGCCTGGCTAGGCAAACAATGGAGGGCAAGTTCGATTGGATTTTAAATATTTAAATATAGCGTTAATGTTTTATCGCTGGTGCTGCAGAAATATTGCAGTTTGGGGCTGAACGAAGTAGCCGGGTAATTTAAAAAGTTATCCTCTCATAGAAATTAAAATTCTTTTTTTAATTTTAATAGAAATTAAAAATCATGCGTGAGTGTAAGCGATTATGTGTGAAAGTCTTCGACACAAATTGTTATTTGAATTGATTTACTTTGATTTGTGTGTTCACAAACGATCCTAAAAATACATGTCGACTTGAAAAAATATTTTAACCTTATAATCTCACAATAACAATAGACCTGTGCTAATAAAGTCAAATTATTGTAGTCAACAATGTGATATCGAGAAATTTAAACTATCAAAGCGAAAAGCCAAGTCTCCGTACAAAAATCTTATTAGAACTTAATGAAAATATTTTATCATCCGTTAATTAAATAACATTGTTTGCAATGGGGATGAAAGACATGCGCCATATCGAACAATTCAACGCATGGCGGTGCAGAAAAGCAATAAAGACTAAAGCGTTGGTAGATCTGAGAGTCGAGAATCAATTGACGTCCTAAGTATTTATGATACATGATTGGGCTCTAACATGTAATAATCAAGATACATTAGAGTTTTCTTGGTATTTATGATATATTATTGGGCACTAACATGTAATAATCAAAATACATTACAGTTTTCAAACCGTCTTTTGAAACACTGCTTTATTATATAACATAATGATCATTTGACCACTTTGTTAATTTCTATGAGAGGATAACAACAAAATTAACCGATAATTACGATATCCATATTGCGTTAAGACTAGATTTTGATTAGTGAAGGTTAAACATTACCGTTCGCTTTCACAAACAACTTATCCATACAGGCTATTGACGGTTAACATATTAACGATGAGGGTTAGATGGTTATATTAATATTATGGTGCATTTGCAGGTTTCATGGTGATTATGCAGTATGCACCCTTATAAATGGTTCCAGTGACAGAATATTTCGTTGAACATTATTTCCGATTTAACTACTTTGGATTCTACAGAAAGCTTGCTCGTAGCTCGGATTTTGATACAATGCAGGAGAGCCATATATGCTAGTTCGCAAATCGTATTAGTTCGCAAATCGACTAGCTGACATGTGGGGTGCACTTCTCAGAAGCCTAACATTCTCCTGCTTTCGAAATCCAAAAAGCACAAGACTTATCAATCCAGTTGGACTCCAGATAACAATGACCGTGTGCTTGGATGATTTAAATGATGACTTGGCAGCCTTTATCTGCGTTGTGAACAGTAAAGATCGACAATCTTCTTCGGAATATATCAATAAAAAGGTATAGAATTAACTTATATTTATAACAATTATTGGGTATTTTGTGTACTGAAATGCTTTTGTTCTTTAGTTAGAACCGTCTCGTGATATAAATAAGCAGAGTTTGCAACAAATTTTTAGTCAACTGTCAGTCACTCATCTTCGACTCATCTACATTAACTAGTTGCATAAATTAAAAAAAATCGCACAATCAATGCTTGTTTATTCAAACTACATCAAAATAATTGTTAAAACTCACATCAACCTTTACAATACTCTTTCTAACGCTTCTCTCAAACTCGACTTGTTATTCAACTCCTGCGCGTCGTGCGCCAGACTGCCTCTGGTGATCACCGGTAGCCTTGGTGCTCGGGTGTGGTCAAGCGGTCGAGGTCTTGCCTCAGGGGAACCTCGGAAATTTCCTCAAGAATCGCCAGTTGAAGAATGCGTAACCGGAATTACTGCACAATGAGTCCTTAAAAGAAAAACAAGCAGGAATATTTTCGTGCTTTTCCTATCCAAAATCGAAAAACGAATAGTTCAGTACGTATAGGATAATGTTTCCACTCGGTATCCTGTTCAATCGTGTTTCCAGGACTGAATTAAAGTAATGGTTGAAAAGTTGCTTCCTCGTAGGAGCAGTCTAGAAATTAAATTTATTAATAAATATAAAGTACATATTAATAAAATCTATCCGTTTACTCTCAGTTGCTCAAATTCAATTAAAAAATTATAGTAAAAATTACAAGTTGCGTCAAAAACTATCCGCGTTCATTTTTATAACCGAGAGGGTTCAGTTGTACGGATGTTGCATATTAGACAAATAGCTTAATTAGCTGTAGTTTTCAGTAATCGCTGCTATATTTCTGCGTACACTGTACTGTCCACACAAATAGACCCACTGTCTAATTTCCCCACGCACCTATGAAGTGAAACTTCCGCGTATTCCCAGGTTTCCGCATAACTTGAATTAATAGGACACTTATGTTGATAATCGAGGCTGCTAGCTAAAACACACAGTTTACGCATGAGCGCAATATATATAATTATTCGATTTAAGTGAAGTATAATGACCAAATGTAAAACTTTTATGTACATGTTCACTCTACAATAAAGTTGTATTGTGAACGGTTTCTATGTTGCTCATGTTAAAAGAAATAATTTTATTTTATTCAGAATCTTTTTACTGCACTTTTTTAGCATCAATTAATTCAAATCAGAAAAATATTTAGAAAACGAAAATTTGTGGATTCTACAAAACCCCAATCTGCAACACCATCATCAGAGACACATAATCAGTGGTGATGTATTGATTAATTTCCTGGTCAAAATAATTGTTGAGCTCCGTAATTATTAACAGGCTAGCGCCTCGAAATGCTCAGAGCTGTTTCGTTATAGGCAGCAGCAAATTTTTTTCCCGCGGCTGCTGAACCAACATGTACAATTGCGCAGGGTAAAGACCCGCCTCCCAGTGAGAGTGTCCGGGAATGCAGACAACATCCTACGTACACCCACCCTCTCTCGACCGCCGCAAGGGCAGGAGTGAGGTGACATAAGCAGAGACCCGTGTATGTATAGAGGGGAACCCTCACTGCCGTTGTCAGTCTCGATGAACTCGCGGTCGAAAGTAGACGTGCGTTCGCTACTCTGTGCTACTCCAGCACGACGGAAGCTTACATTTGAAACCGCAGGGAAGAACTGTTCCTACAAATTAGCCGTTTGTTTTATTCATAGACAATATTAAAACTAAGTTACTCTCGGTGTGTGCTATGTCTACCAAAATATGTTTGAGAAATATTGCATGCGAAAAAATATATGGTTGTTAGTCATTTTTTTCGCATGAAAATAATCATACAAAATAAAATTTAACAAATTAAAACACGTCCTTGCTACTATATTACGATTCACATTTTATGTTAAACTATTAATTAAAATATAAATGAATGGACGTTTTTTATTTTGCAATCAATAGAAGGCAATACGATTCATATGCTTCCAAGTCCATCTAACATCATTTTATTCATTTAACATGCAAGGAATTTTCATTTCAATTTATTTCACATTAGGGCGGCTCTGCTAACGGCAGCCGAACAGGGGGCAGTTTTTGAACCTTGTTTTTAACGAGGAAGTTTGTAATTGAAATTAACCAAAGAACTTAAATGATAAAGTTGTAATAAGAATTTTAGAGTTTATATTTCTGCCGTAATGTTGTTATTTGGGACAAATTTCCACAGCTTTAAAAATATACTTTCTTATTTTAGGACAAACTGTAACTAAAGATAGTCGCAACATTTTTATCATTACTTCAAAAGAGTTTTAAACCCCTCACTTGTACTTATTGTTATTTGTATCTAATTTTTAACACACGTAGAAAGTTATCTTTTAAATGGAGTTTAATGGCCATGGAAGAGCTTAATTCTTCATGATCCCATTCACATTATTCTAATCATATGAATAATGTCCGCAATTTAGAAAAAAACAGTACTTGTAACTTAATTCAGCAATACCACGAAATGTCATACAAAATACCTACGTAAAAATTAACGGTCATAGACCTAGACTCGTTAAATATGTTCAGTTAGGAACTTCTTAACATTTAGCACTCAATTAATCATTTTTCACGTGTAAACTCAAACATAGCAATAATATTTATACCGTAATTAGATATAAAATGATTCTTTCTATGTTAAATTTATAAATTACATTCTATGACAGCGACATAAAAATTAAATTTATTAAATTCATATTCATCAAAATATCCTCGTCATAATATAAATAACATCTTGTGAGTGAATGTAGTTCCAAATTTTATAAATTATCTACTTCTGAAGAACTGAATCAATTTTTCTTTCAGGTATAAATTTAGTAGTTGTTAGTAACATTTCTAGGGCTCGACGACTTCGAAGAAACCACGCCATCGGTGTCCAAAATGTGGGGACGATCATCAGCCATGTGAGTACAAATTAAAATATTTTTATATATTACTGTGATTGAATAATAATTACAGAAATTGCAATAATGAACGGGCTGATAACTCAACATCATGCCAGTTTTAAGTTTCGCTAATGGCATGATGCAAATAGTTTTTTCTTGTTCTGATACTGCAATTAAAGAAATGTCATTTAGCGCTTTAATTGTAGCCTCCTGTCTTGTTAAAATTTGAATAAATCAATCAATTCACACTCACGGTACTCATTATCATGCTCTGAACAAACTCCATATGGATACTCCCCAACTATTTATCCATAGCTAGGACATGTAGAACCCACAGTAACCATGGATGAAAATATATTCTTAAGAAACTCGTACAAAGTGAATCGAAAATCTTGGCGAAAAAAATTAAGTCCTCAATTTGAATGGAAAGCGCAGTGCTGACAGTGTGAAGCAGGATTTGGTCTGAAGTGACCGTGCTTTCTAGTCTGTAATCTTATTTAATCCGCAGCAGCTGTTGCTGCTACAAGTAAATTCCAGAGTGAGGATTTTTGCCCTTAGAAGCGTAAGTCTATTTAAAACATTATCATCTGAAATACTGAGCGATGCAAAAAAATTAAAATGTAACTCAGGAGTTCATGATAATTTTTATTCTAATTCATTTTTATGATGAATCAATTCCGAAAATCTTTATTATCAAACATCGCTGAAAAAACAAAAAAACTGTAGTCAGAGGTTCACTCTGCAAAATACCTAAACTATCATTTCACAAATTTTTATGACTTTTCTTGTCCAATGCCACTTGATACTTCGACAATGCATTACAAAAAAAATATAATTCAGTACTCACTGCAGTGAGTGACAGAGAGCACATTTTCTCGTCGACGAAAACTTGAGGTCACGGACGGACGGACAGACGGACGGACAGATGGACAGATAGACGGACATGGCGATCACAATAGTGCATTTTTTCCATAAATGAGAAAATGCGCTAAAAACGTGATAACCATATGATGTTATTAGCAGCATCAGTTCCTTATGGGAGCTATCGTGCACTCATAATATTTGTGAGCGAAGCAGATGTGAATATTTTCCGGTAATTTAAGAGCATCGGCTTTGATTAGCGAATTAAATCACAGTTCTTGTTAAATCACGCAAGTTTTAAACAAGATTGGGCCAGGTTTTTGTCGTACATTTGTCACGCCAAGGCCAATATACGTTGATTACTACAGTCTTCTGTAACATGTCTGGTCAGGCTCAACCGAACGACCTTCTTGCTTCATCGCTCGGCCATATTCATATTGAATTAACAAGAAAATTTAAATTGCTACAAACTGCCACTCAAAAAGATGGTTTCAAAAAAAATGAAAAATGAAAGTAGTAGGATGTTGATCTTTATATTTGCTTTGAATTCGAACGTGAGATTTATGACTTACACTTAAACATAAAAAATAAGTAATCGGTTAATTTTTTTCATTTCCACCTTGCCAGATATATTTAATCCTCAGAGCTCGTCATATTAATTTAATCACCCAATCAGAGCTCGTCATATTAATTTAGTCACCCATCTTCGGTAAAAAATAGCAAATTGAGAAATGCAATTCCGTTTTATTTGATGCTCAATCAACTCGTTGAATGTGTACGACAATCCCATTTCGATTTCCTTTGCTCAGAACGGAAGCTCGTGTCTGTTAGGTAACTTTAGATTCGTTCATTTCCTCTGAAAATTACGTGTCACAGAGCAGTGATCACAGTGACCTGCCTAGTCATGCTAGATTTAAAAGTTGCCTCGAGACGGACTCAGGGTGAAAGTCTAACAGGTTCAAGGAGATTTTAGTTCATCTGAAGCAACAATAACGCCGTGATAGAAAGCCTCGGGCCATTTAATTACTATAATGTTTGGAGGCGATACTTTTATGTTCTTTACGAGTGTTTGCTTTGGCTGTGAAGCCCGGCTGTGCATTATTATGCTTTTTCACTGTCCAATAATATTTTATCTATACCTTGAATCTGCATTAGAAATATACCACGAAGCCGAAGTTTAATTTTTTTAAAGTCAATTTCAACTTTCCGTTCACAGCAAAAACCCAAAGCGATTGCAAGCCACATATTATCCCGAGATCGTCCTTAGTCCCAGATTCTTATCTTAGATAAGTTAATTATTTATTCAATATGATATTGACCTCAATCAAATTTGTCTATGTCACTACCAAATTGATGTATTTTATGCGGCTATTTATTTTACTTAATATTTCACTTAAAAATGGCGCAATACTGGTTAATGAAGATAAGTTACTCTTTTGAAATTTACTTGACAAGTGATGACAGAAAATATAAATGAATGTTCTTATTAATCCTTTCTTTAAAAACCGTCTTTTTAATTTTAAAGCGTGCGGGCTTTCATGAGCGCATCATGCACTACTTCCAGCTGAGATCTCTCATTCCCACATGTTAAGCCATATTCCTCTGTTCCTGACCTACCTCAACGTATATGGATGCAGTACAGCAGATCGAGCTGTCATGGAGGCGCACGTTCAGATCTGATGCATTAGAGCCCCACACAACGCGTGTTTCTTCCACACAAAGAAAGCAACGCTTAAGTTGCGCAACTTTCACTCTCGGTTTCGTAAGCGCTACAGAGGATGCAAACCCAAAATGTCTGTTGTACCCGCCGAGTCCCACGGTGTTGCGTTGTATGCAATAGATCGTGTATTCCTGTGAATACTTAATTTGTATTATGTGCCACAATAAATTTTCAGTTTATTCTAGCACTAATATCTGGGTTCCAAATTTTTAAACTGCCTAACGGGAGTCTGAAGCGGGAGCATCATTTACTGATGCTCTCTTCTGTTTCAAATGAAGCTTTTCGAGTTTGATTCTCATTCTTAATTTACTTCCCAGTTTGAGCTGTATAGGAAATAAATTATAAATTACACTGACTACACAAAATTTATTCTATTCAAATGGTACATCTTTCTCCGTGTTCTTGTACATCTCTTTCCGTGTTCTTGTACATCTCTTTCCGTGTTTTTTTTTTAATCTCGTATTCTTCCTTGGGTGCTACTTTCACTGATCCTTTCATAATCCTGTTTAGGTCTTTACGACTAAACCAAGTAATGGACTTAAAGAACTGAAGGCCGATACTGACAATATGTTATGGTCCGCAAATGCCTTTTAACCAATGACGCGAGTTACTGATGCTGCAAGCCTGACCTCAATGACCTGCACCATGCAATGGAGCTACAGCGCGGTTACTGTAATGCTGTCCTAAAAACGTATGAAAAAATTGTCACAGTTTTTATAGATCACTTTATGTCATTAACAATGCAGAATATACCCTTTATATCGCATGTTGCATCATTTAAAAGGCACACTGTGTCCTTTGAAGTGCTAATTGTGCCCTTTATAGTTTTTTTTTTTTTTTGCTCATGAGCAGCATAATTCGATGTTGTTGCAATTTTAACATCGTTTACGATAAACAATAAATGGGAAAATGGTAAGCTACTAAATAATCCATTTTTAATGAATCTTTGATGTAAATATTCTTTTATATGTTTTATTATTCATGTTTTATCGATGTACCTCAAAATTATTTGTTTATATCTTTAATGCACGCCACAAAGAAGTGTTGAAAGCCTCCCTTAGCCTCAAAAACTTCAAAAACTTGGCAAAGAACATTATAAATCGAGCAAATAATTTTCAAATAAATTGGCCCAGGTGCATACTTACAAAAAAATTAGCTTACCATGAACGTTATTTTATTTTCATTTTTTCGGCTTATCCACGCAAACTGTTAATAAAAAGCAGAACCAATTTAAATGTGTCACATGACTTCAAAAGACAACATATTTTATTAGTGGTAATACCTGAGACATATACTAATGTAATTATTTCAACTTCGTAAGTTTCATTAACTAGGATAATTTTGGCAAGTTGAATAGAAGTGTTGGATATTTAAGCGAGTTATCCTTCAGTTTAGACTACTTGCTAATTCCAGCTTCAGTCGAGACTACGTTCTTTTAGGTCCTGTTTTTTATCTTTACTGATTCTTAAAATTTATAAACCTGTTAAGTGGCAAATTCTTAAGAGTAATTACATTCCAAACTACTCATTTTGCGTTTCCGTAATTCTTTAACTGTAATAATTCCGTATAACTCGTATTCTGTATAACAACAATCTGTGTACAGCTGTACATGTGTACCTGTTTGATCTTTTCGGCGATTTTTGTACATATTAACTATCCTATTAAAGCATTCTTATTGGTTAAAGTCTGGTAACTTCTATACTCATGGGTTTAGTTCTCCAGTATCCGGAGCAAATATGCAAACAATCAACAACATTTAGTGGTGTGAGCTTTTATTATAAGCTCATTTTTTTCATTCCAGAACTCCGGCTGGGTAGTTAGTGGGTAGCAGGCGATCTTGTAACAACCCATATTTTCGTTTAATTTTTGAGACGTGACTAACAATTCATATTTGTATCAAACATAAAGTAAAAAAGTCACCAGTGCTTCAATAATGAATCCATTTTGCTATTTGTCGCACAATTTATGGGTCACATTCCTGCTTGAATTAAAGGTTAAATTTTGGTTTCCAGCATTACAAACTGCAAGCAAGCAGTTCTACGTCGATCTAGCAAACAGCATCTATGTCGATTCAAGCAGAAACTTGATGGGATCCTCGCTGCACTGACCACTATATCATTTACGATTAATTTTATGTTCTTGAAACGGAATAGTGCGCTTCTTAAATATTACTTCAGAATTCTCATTATGTCCTATTAACTGCATACTATGTTTATCATACAGCGTTTGTCGTTACAGCATTATTTTTACAATCACACTGAAATGCAAAATGGAACATATATAATATTTCATTCTTGTCGTGCTCTTCATAACATGTCTTTTGCACTGCCCATTGTGCATGCACTTAACACTGCCTATTCTGTCCTCTTTTTAGCTGTTATTGGCCAATCACACTTTTACTGGTTGAATGTTATCTTGGCTTATACACACCGACTTT